TTTGGGCTGTGAGTGAATCCATGACTCAGCCTGCTTGCGCCCGGTTGAATGCCTGGGCGGTGCTCAGCCTCGACAGAGAACTCTACTGGGTCCCTTAAGAATGAACTTCTCAAACTCATCTTTGAGATGTTTTTGTTGAAACCAACACCTGAAGTGTGGTTTGGAGGATGCAAGCCCCGAGAACACTCGATATCCCCAGCTCCGAGTCGAGGTCGGGGCATAATCCGCTCCACGGTGTGGGACCGCACGAAGCGAGCCTTCCGGACACCCGAAGCAACGCTTTCATTTGACTTTGGTGCGTTGAAAGAGCCCCACTTGGGTCACTCGTTTAAAGTTTAAATATACGTTAGTAACTATTGTTTGACCAATCTCCTTGTGGTTTCCCTTTGGAACAGCTGGCTGGCAGACTTGCCGAACCCTGCACTCATGGAACATACTCTGAAACGGAAGGGATGACAATGGTCAGGGTTCCCAAAGGTTTGGGTCAGGATCCGCCATGAACTGGGAGGGGGCGTATAAGAAACCTCATCTGCGCATGTTGGATGAATGCACTCACGCGCTTTGAGAGAGTACCATGCAGGTAGCCCCGTTTGCTCCCTAACATTGGGAAGAAAGTTTGCACTGCCAAAGACAAGACAAGGATGAAAGCAATTGTCTGGCCTTCGTGATTGGTCAACGTTTGAAATCCTGATGCATGAAAAGAATGAGCAAGCGTCAGAAAGCCAGCCGTGCACAAACTAGATGCTGCAGCAAAAAGCATTTCTTTGCAGGTCGGGACGACCTGAAACTCGATCATCTGTCATTTGATAAAACAGCCCAATAACAACAACCTCATTCTAATCGTCATGGTTGTCATTTTCAAAAAATGGGGACGTCGCGCAAGGGGAACCCGTCTTGGACCGTCTTGAAACCCAAAGTTATCAAATGACCAGTGCGCGTGACACTTGAGGGGTCTTCCGAACGGCGGCCTTGTCGCGTCGTAAACGCGAAGAAAGCACAAACGCCATGCTGACCGAATCGTTCGGCTCCTTCAAGTCCATTTTCCGCACAGGCTCCTGGCAAAAAGTCGAGGGCCCGAGCATGCGATGGAAAGTGACATGGTGCGATAGGTCGCCAGTCCGGGTGTTGGTTGAATGAACCTGTTGTTTTTTGGGATTTCCTTTGAAGCCATAGCTAGGGATGGTTTTCATGTCGGGGTCATTGCACCTCATTCTCTGCTGAGAACCAGCGGTTCGTGAAACATGGTTTGGTTGCCAGGAGAGTGAGCGGTTCTACCAGTGCAAGTGGGACGCGGTTGCTAAAATCAATGCCCAACTCTGCAAGAACCTGCTCTGAATATTGTCAAACGAAGCACAGCACATGGTAGCACCTCTTTTATTTTGCTGCTTGTTTGTATGTATATTATACATGTATATATATATATAATATACATATATGTTCCAGTCCCCAGGCGGGCTACCCCCTCCCCACCCCCACCCAAGGGTAGGGTCGCCCCCTTCCCCCAAATCATCTACATCAAGAATGCTGAGATGCTGTCCAGTACCAGCTCCTGTCCACCCGCCTTACCAACATCCTACCCTCAACCAACCCAACCAACCCAAACCAACCCCAAACCAACCCCAAACCAACCCTGAACCAACCCCAAACCCTAAACCAACCCTAAATGAACCTTAAACCAACCCTAAACCAACTCCAAACCAGACCCCAAACCAGACCCCAACCCTAAACCTTAAACTAAAACAACCCCAAACCAACCCGAAACCACACCCCAACCACCCAACCACCCAACCACCCAACCACCCAACCACCCACCCAACCACCCAACCACCCAACCACCCAACCACCCAACCAGCCAACCACCCAACCACCCAACCACCCAACCACCTAACCACCCAACCACCCAACCACCCAACCACCCCAACAAGGGGGGTTGGGGGGGGGGGAGGGGGGTGGGGTCCACGGCCTGAAACAAAGATTGGGCGGGGAATGTCCCCCCATTCTAAGACACACCCACATGCTCCGCAACTTGAACTTGGATGCATAACGCTCACAGCGCCTGACTCAACAATTCACCCAGCCCAAGCAAACTGTCCTGAAGAAAGGAACCGGTATCTCAAGTCGCTCAAGTGGCGTCGCTCAAGTGACTAAGTCCCTTCGTGAGGCGTTCGATAATGGCCTAAATTTCTCGCCCAGCTTTTGCCCCGCCAAAAAAACAGCACATGTTTGTGAGTCTGGCCCATATTTGATGAAGCTTCTGCAAGATAACTTCAACAGAGGTCCAAAGCTTCCTACGACTTGGACATAGCCCTCTAGCGCCCCCTAGCGCCCGGCCTGGGGGCCGACTCCTCGGCTTGCGGAACACTCCCCCGGACTCAAAACGGAAAGATCTTGATTGGCGGCCCCGGTGATTTTTGTTCCCCCGTAAAAGGCAGTACCCGAGTGCGAGAGTCAACTGGCTCGATGCGCAACTGAGAATGGAAATGCACAGATTCCTTTTGCCGACGTCCGAACCTTGTCTGAGACTGGCAGTGTGTCGAATTTTGGGGCCCCCCAACATGGTTGGCATCCGGAAGGACGAGTGACGCATTCACCCAAGAATTGTCAAGCACTTGGTTCGCCTCGTTTCGTTTCAGCAAGTCCAGGAGTATCTGGGCTCTTCAAAATGAAGGGTCGGTGGGAAACCACTAGGGAGGGAATTACGGTTTGGACATCCCAACATATGACATGAGCTTCAGTGCCTCCTTCACATATTTTCTCGTCCTGACTTTCCAGGACTGTCCCTTCGCGTTGATGGCCTGAAAAGAACCATCTGGGTTGCCGGCCAACCAGCGTCAACATGTCCGCCACCAGCTGCGTCTTAAGGCGCTTGTCCTGCACGAAATTCAGTCCGGTGGGCTGCCGACAGGCCCAGGCCTAGGATTTCCCCTAAAGTTGCGCATCTTACTGCTGGGTTCGCACGACTGCCACTTTTGAAGTTCCATGAAGGGAAGCATTCAACAAATCCTCGCACATCGCAACTTCCTGCTTTCCCCGTGCGAACTTCGAGGCGCTCAGCTGATCCCTGGAATGACTTAAAGCCCTTCACCGGCGTTTGCACCAGCCTTTGCTTGGAGGTGGACCTTCAGAGGGGGGGGGGGTGATCTGCAAAGGATGCTACTGCTTCTAATTCTAACTTACAGCATGCTCAAGAAAAATATGCGGTGGAGGCGCCGTGACAAACAAGCAAGGGGGAACCATCCAACATCCTGAACAAGCTGAGCAAAACTGAAGGATCTCATGTTCAACAACAACCATTTGGAACTTGCAACAGGAAGCCCGAAGTTGCATTTTTCCAGGTTTGGGCCAACCTCCGTGAACATGCGCAACAAATCACACGAAGCACACCCTTTTCAAAGATTATCTTTGCAAGGGATCCGCAATCTGGTTCTTCGAGCCCATGTGAAACCCTAAGCCCTCTTACCCAGATTACACCGCGGCGCTCTTGCGAAGAGGGTGCCTGAAAAGGCGAAGAAACGCCCCAACTCACCACGCAAGTTTTGACATGCCAAAAGAAACCGCTCTACATACGTAGATTGGTCGAGCAAGCATGGATTCTCAGCTGATTTCCGCTCAGCTTGAGCTTGTCCCCAGTCTCGAAACCAAAACACATGTTGATGTGTGCTTTGACGGTGTGAGATGGTGTGAGAGGCGTCTAAAGCCCCAAACGTGAGAGACAGCCACATTCAATACAAGGGGTCAGGTTGAACACCGTCGAACCTTCTGGCACGCGCCAAAATGCAGCTCCCGCCTTGCATTTTGGGCGGGAAAGGAGGTGGTTCCCAGAGGTGTCCTTTAGAAATAGATGCCTCTGGCACAAACCAAAAACTGGGCTGTCCTCAGATCCCCTCAAAGTTTTCAACTTCTAGTGGTTTAGTGGAAACTCATTCGCCCAAAGGACCCAGAAATAAAAGGTTAACCTTTTGGGGCCTTTACTAAAGATAGACCAAAATTGGAAAACCAAAAGGTTAAAAGGTCGGCTTTGGGCAACTGAAACTTTCCACTCAACCAACAACCTCAAAACGTCAGGAACCGGATGGCCAAGCACGGACAGGGCCCCAAGCCAAGGGCGAGGAAGAGGACAGCGAGGGGCAGGTGTTGACTTCCAGCCTCGGCCGGTTTTTTCGAGTGAGGCCATGGCAAACCCATCTTTTTGTTGGCACATGAAGTTGGCGCAAAACAAAAATCCTGACACTTGGCACACCTGCTGATTTGTTTTCGTGGTTTTAAAGGGACAAACTAAAAGGACAACCCACCACTGTGGGTCCACTAACAAAAGACACACCCACCTGGCAAACCGGATTAAGTTTAGGTGGACCATAATTATCTAGTTGCTTCAGTCTTGCGACGAACCCACCAGCGGCAAATGAAGGAACTGTCTAATGGTGGGCGAAACAAAAGGACTTTCTGATTGTTGGCTATGCGAAGAAACCCCTACGAAGAAGTCCCTTTAAACCTGCCAGTGGAAAAGGTCAACCTCAAGATTTAGACAGCGGGCCACCGTTGTTGCCAGCTTGTTTTCGGCACCATGAAAGTGAGGCTGTGAAAGCAAAGTGGTCTAGTGGTGGCTGGTTTCCAACTCTAATTAAATTTGGTCTTGAAAAAGCCGCCGTGCTTCAAAATGATTGGCCACATGGAGATCTCTTAAGGAGCCCTGTTGGGGTGTTTCCTTTTCCTTCTCTTTTGGACCCTTGGCACATGACACCATCGGGGATCAGGCGCCTTTCGCCCCGCCCTTTCGCCCCCCTCTCCCTCAGCTCCCACGGCTTCAATCGAGCCCAGCTGGGCAGCAAAAGCTCCACCGAAATTGCCCAGACCCAGGGAGAAGCTGTGCTGAAGCCGCAAAAAATAAAAATAAGTGTTGTTTGTGTCCTGTACCTGCGGTTTACCTGCTCGTGCTGCCGGTCGAACCCATCCACCGAGTCGCGAGTCGCGAGTCGCGAGTCGCGAGCCAAGGCCAGGGCAGCCAGGGCCTCAACTGGGCATCCACCAGCACATCGCACCCGTAGAGCTCGAAGCAGGTCTGATTGGGCCCCACCTCGGCTCGGTTTGACGGGTTGTTCGTCGTTCTCCAATTGGTTAGCGGGCAGCTTCTTGTTTCCAGCGCTTTCACCTTGTTCAGGCTCGCCACTTTCTGTGAGCGGCTCCCTTCACGCCCGGGTTGTTTGTCTGAATTGGTTGCCGTCTTGGACATAAACTGCATGTGCAAATTGTGTTGTGTGGTCGGAGGATGTCATTTCCCAGGATTCAAGACATACAAGTTATGTCCGAACTCATTTCCCAGGATTCAAGACGTACAAGTTATATCCGAACTGTTTCTGGGAACCAAGGATGTCATTTACCTGGATTCAAGACATAACAAATTGTGTCCAAACTGTTTTTTAGGGTCCAAGGATGGCCTATACAAGGAAATTCAAGACATAGTTTGCTTGTCCAAACTGTGTTCGGGGTCCAAGGCTGGCATTTACCAGGATTCAAGACATAACAAATTGTGTCCAAACTGTTTTTTAGGGTCCAAGGATGGCCTATACAAGGAAATTCAAGACATAGTTTGCTTGTCCGAACTGTGTTTGGGGTCCAAGGCTGGCATTTACCAGGATTCAAGACATAAATTGTATGTCCAAACTGTTTTTTAGGGTCCAAGGATGGCCTATACAAGGAAATTCAAGACATAGTTTGCTTGTCCAAACTGTGTTCGGGGTCCAAGGCTGGCATTTACCAGGATTCAAGACATAACAAATTGTGTCCAAACTGTTTTTTAGGGTCCAAGGATGGCATTTACAAGGAAATTCAAGACATAGTTTGCTTGTCCGAACTGTGTTCGGGGTCCAAGGCTGGCATTTACCAGGATTCAAGACATAACAAATTGTGTCCAAACTGTTTTTTAGGGTCCAAGGATGGCATTTACCAGGAAATTCAAGACATAGTTTGCTTGTCCGAACTGTGTTTGGGGTCCAAGGCTGGCATTTACCAGGATTCAAGACATAACAAATTGTGTCCAAACTGTTTTTTAGGGTCCAAGGATGGCCTATACAAGGAAATTCAAGACATAGTTTGCTTGTCCGAACTGTGTTCGGGGTCCAAGGCTGGCATTTACCAGGATTCAAGACATAACAAATTGTGTCCAAACTGTTTTTTTAGGGTCCAAGGATGGCAATAGTTTGCTTGTCCGAACTGTGTTTGGGGTCCAAGGCTGGCATTTACCAGGATTCAAGACACAAATCTTATGTTGACTATGTTCTTGGGCCCAAGGATGTCATTTGCCAGGATTCGAGACATATCATTTTGTCCGAGGTCTAAGGATGTCATTTACTAGGACTCAAGACATAACAGTTATGTCCAAAATGCTTTTGGTGTTCAAGGATTTCATTTACCAGGATGCAATACATATTTGGTTTGTCCAAACTGTTTAGCATCCAAGGATGTATGTCCAAACTGCTGTTGGCGTCCAAGGATGTCATTTGCCAGGATTGAAGACATTAAACAAAGGCTCAAAACAGTTCTTGGGGTCCGAGGATGCCATTTACCAGGATTCAAGCAAACCGTTTTTGGGGTGCAAGGATGTCATTCCCAGGATTCAAGACATAACACTTATACGTATGCCCGAACTTCTTCTTTTTTTGGGGGGGGGGTGTGGGCAATGCAGAATCCGTGCCCCTGTTTTCATTTGGGCGGAAGGGCAAGGTTGGAATTAGGTCTCCGTAGCGTTGAGAAAAGGATCGGTCACAAAAATATGACGGCGACTTCCGCACTTCCAAAAAGGGTGTCCAAATGGAAAGTCGAGCCAAGGTCTCCAACATTCAATGCTATCTTGCCACTTCAAGCAGAAAGACTGAAATGGCTTGTCAAAGCCATTTCAAGAATTAGCAGAATGCTCTGTTGCATCAATGTATTCAGGAATGGGTGGATTGGATAGCAGAATGCTCTCAGCTATATCAAGGTATTCAGGAATGGGTGGATTGGATAGCAGAATGCTCTCAGCTATATCAAAGTATTCAGGAATTCGGAATGGGTGGACGAGCCATTCTTCTTTGTCCAATCCGGCAAAATTCCTCTCTTGCTAAATCAAATCGCGAGCCATGGCTCAAAACCGCACATCACCCCGGATAAGATGCCTTGTTTGGGTCCCCGAATGCCACATCCAAATGAAAGGTGCATCCGCAACGAACGAAGGCTGACACTTCCGAGGTATTGTACAGGCGATCGAGCCTTTTCTAGCGGGGATCCTCTGAGTATTCCTCTACAAAAATGAGGAAATCCCAGCAACTCACCATGGTTGTCTTTGATTGGTTTACTTTGCAATAGGGATTCAACTGTACGATCGAGGCACAGGTCCGACTCACAGGACCAAAGTGGAAAGAAACGCACATGTAAGGGGCTGCGCATTCTGAGTGACAGTGTTCTGAGGTTTAAAAGGAGGGGGGGTAGCAGCTTTGGGTGGCCCCTTTTCGGTTTTGCGGGCTTTGGCCTTGGCTGATTTTGCAAGCCACAAGGCGCCCCGAACACTACCGAAGACTATGTTTTTGTCGGATACTCATGACATGGATAGAAGGTCTTTCTTGGCTCCTGCGGCTGCGTTGCTGTGTAAACAGGACGGGGGCAACTGATGAGAGCCTTGAAGAACATGCGCATAGCTGAGCGCACAGCCATCTTCGCTGGATGCTAATGATAAATGTAAGCGCGACGAGTCTGATGGAGGAGGAGGATGCTGATGCTGATGATGCTGATGCTGATGGTGCTGATGATGCTGATGATGCTGATGCTGATGGTGCTGATGAAGCTGATGATGATGACGGTGGTGATGATGATGATGATGATGATGATGATGATGATGATGATGATGATGATGATGATGCGGCGGCGGCGGCGGCGGCGGCAGCGGTGAGATGGTGATGGTGATGGTAACGATAATGGCGATACTGGTGTGACAGTGATGAGGATCTGATGGTGATGGTGGTGATTGTGGCAGACAAGAAATAAGTACTGGGTCTTCTCCTCACTTTCAACCAGCCCTTGTTCGAGCATTCAGCCCATTCTCCCGGTGATACTTGCATCAAGAATGCCTGGTATGCAAATAGCTTGTTTCCATGTGTGCGCGTGTGTGAAGTGGCAAGCAAGAGAACACGCATTTGGCCAGATTGCAAATACAAGGAGCCTAAGTTGATACCTCCCACCAACACGACATGCAAGTGTGCAGACCCTTTTCGTTTGCAAGGCCACTTCTTCCTTTCGGGATCAAGGAAACAAGCGGTGCAGTTGCATCTTTGGGAAAGGGAAGCCGCTCAACCTAAAAAACAGATGTCCATCTTTCCATGGGTCAACCTAAGGAGCACATCTGCCCATCTTTCCAGAATGCGGCCCCTGAGCGGCAAACTCCCTTCGGCACTCCTCGGTAGTTGGCGCCGTTATGCCAGGCACTCACCTCAGCTTCGGGCGGCCTGGTGGCCTGGTGGGGATGGGGGTGCCAGGACTGCCAGGAAGCCTCAAAGATCTGGCGTCGTTCCTACGGAAGAAAAAGGCGTGGGGTTCCCAGAAAAAGGTGGCTCCTATAGCAAATTTGCCTCTTGCAGTGCGCTGCGCGCACTCAGGAATGGTCCATTCCATCCTGACTTCAGGAAATTATTTCTGCGGTGTCCTGTGGGCTTCCCTAACGCCGAACAAAGTGATTCTTTCCCCCGATCTTTCAACACCACCCTCTGGGTGCCAGCGCGATGGGCGTCTCTGTGGCAATCAGCGTCTTCACCACGAGCTCCTGAAGATCACACCCTGCTTTGGGGAAGCCCCCAACCAAGCCAACCCTCGACACAGGACTGGCCAAAACAAACAGACAGACAGACAGACAGACAGACAGACAGACAGACAGACAGACAGACAGACAGACAAACAAACAAACAAACAAACACACGCACACACACACACACGATGTGTGTGTGGTGTGTGTGTGTGTGGGTGTGTGGGTGTGTGGGTATGTGGGTGTGCGTGTGTGCGTGTGTGCGCGTGTGCGCGTGTGCGCGTGTGCGCGTGTGCGCGTGTGCGCGTGTGCGCGTGTGCGCGCGCGTGCGCGTGCCTGTGCGTCTGCGTCTGCGTCTGCGTCTGCGTCTGCGTCTGCGTCTGCGTCTGCGTCTGCGTCTGCGTGCTGCGTGTGCGTGTGCGTGTGTGTGTGTGTGTGTGTGTGTGTGTGTGTGTGTGTGTGTGTGTGTGTGTGTGTGTGTGTGTGTGTGTGTGTGTGTGTGTGTGTGTGTGTGTGTGTGTGTGTGTGTGTGTGTGTGTGTGTGTGTGTGTGTGTGTGTGTGTGTGTGTGTGTGTGTGTGTGTGTGTGTGTGTGTGTGTGTGTGTGTGTGTGTGTGTGTGTGTGTGTGTGTGTGTGTGTGTGTGTGTGTGTTTGTGTGTGTGTGTGTGTGCTTGGGGAGGGGTGGCGCGTTTGGGGAGGGGGGGGCTGGGCGGGCTAGGAGAAGTTTGAACAAGGCCCATATTGTTTGCTTGTCTTTGCACATACAATTCGATAAGGCACCCCTCAAACCGTCATTCTGTTGGTCATGTTTGCCGGGCTTCCCTAAGGTTCCCAATTTTTTTCTGGCTCAAACATCGATCTTTTTATAGGTGAGTTTGGTGGTGGGGTGATGTCTTAGAGTTGGACCTTTTGGGAGACTTGCTCCAGGAACGGCGCCCGCATTCGGCCCCTGGCATCACCTGAAGCTGCGGGGCCTAGCCCTAAACTCAAACGCAACTGTTACACTGTTTCAAAGAGGACCAGAAATTGACGTTTGAAACACAGTTTGCCCTCCAATTCACCAACAGCACGGATCCCTAGAAGCTTTCGAGGTGGCGAACCCACTTGCGGAGCAACGATCTGGCCAGCCGGCTAGATTACAACACATTGGTTTTCCAAACAAATTCATGGATTCCAATGGATGGATCCGGGTAACCACCAAGAAACCAGCGGAATGGAACACCACACTGGGACCAACACCAACGCACCTTGATCTGCACCATCAGCGAGTCATAGTCCAGGTCCTACAGTCCACGGATTTGGATGGCTCGTCTAAGATCTCTAGCCTCTATAGCGATGTCTAACTCTGGGTGCAAGTGTCAACCGGCTTCCATAAAAACACCCCCTGGAAACCTCAGGTCAAAATACCTCTCCTGAATCCAACAAATGTCCCTGGTCGACCCAAAACAGATCGGCTCACAAAAGCGCCAGACAGAAGAAGGGTGTCACCTTGTCAGCTGGGCAGTTCTCAGAACTATACACAGGCGCTGATGGCTTTTCACAATGCTTTCCCGCCTGGTTTCGAGGTGCACAACACAAGGCAGCAAACTGGATAGGATAGTGGATGCTGTTACCAGACAGTGCAGGGAAACACAATTTATCCTCAACATGAAAGCCCTCCAACATGAGACAGTAAGTATCCTCAGAATACACACACACACACCCGGTGCACACCGTGCAACCTATGTATTGTACCGTGGATGCAACAATGCTTGAGAAACCAAATCTACACCATATCCTCTCGGATTGTGAACAATGATCTCCAACCAGCTGTATTGTACATTGCACTATTACTAATTACCATTTCCATTCACAGAAGCGCGCTGGGAAGATACCTTAAGTTGCATCATGAACTGGAATATATGTGGTGCGCTTCCAAAGAAACCCTGCCCCCAACCTCCGACCCCCACCCCAAACTTATCAGGCCCAGCAATACCTTTGCCCGGAACAAATCATGAGCCAAAGCAACCTGGTTCGTGGCTCAACCCTGCCCGCCTTCTGCCGAAAGTACTCCTGCAAGTCCTGAAGCGGAGAGGGAGTCCGAACCGCAAACCCAGAAACTCTTGTAGAAGCTGTTTGTCAGGAAATAACCAGGTACTGACTTGCACTCTAATCTCCACCAGGTAAGCAACAAAACACTCTGCTATGATGTCATTGCCGGTGGATGTCGCTAAGCCTTATGCCGCTTGTCACATACTTGTGCGCCTTCAGGCGTTGTGCCGGCATTATCACCTGGAATGGCGGTGCTCTGCCTGGCAATGGAAAAAACAAACCAACTGATATCAAAGACAAGTGTGCAAATGCGTGCGTGCAAGGATGTGGTTCGTTGTGTTCAATTGTTTGATGCTGTGCTGGAAGTTGTGGAGTGCCGTCGACGGCATCATGCCACTTTTGCCGACGACATCTATTTACGCACCTATAGCCCCACCAGGGAAATGTCCTCAAATATCTTGAAATCTGCCAGCTTTGGGATCTTCTTGTCGGTAGGGCAAGGAGAAAACAGATGTATCTTGAAGTCTGGAAATGAGCCATGGTCAATGTTGATGGTGTCTCATGATCATGACATTAGATTCTGGTCAGCAACCCCATTTTTCAATGAGCCATTACATCATGGGTGAGGAAGGAAAGTAGCGAAGATCAGTGTGATCAATTCGCTTTCGACTGAGGGGAAGACCCGGTTCTCAGTCGGAAATTGCGGGTCCGGATGAGTAAGTTCATCCGCCCACGTGTTAAAGTCGCGCTTCACATGCGACGGCCCCAACATGACCTGCTGGTCATGCAGCGTTAACACAATTTCCATGAGGATGGCCGCATTGGGCATCCTGCGAGTGGAATCGTTAAGAAGGGAGAAAACATTTCCCTGGTTATCACTAGCAACCAGGATCCTAGTGTGAGAAGCCGAGCCGGCTGCACAAAGCAGAACGGCCCTCACCAAAAGGAGGAGGCCGAAGAGCTCCAAGGCCGCTATCGCCCGCTGCGGGTCCCCAGTAGTGAAGGCCCACGGCTCGCCCTCCGGTGTGATTCTGTGCTGGAACCACTTCACACGGGACTTGTCGGGGTTGGGCACGTCCGAGCACCAACCACCAACCCATGCATGGTCTGCCTGTCTGCCAGCTCCCGCATCAGATGCCCCCGTCCATGGGAGTGTGGGAGCAAACGGAGATGCCAGTGGGAACCTCTGGTTGAAGAGTCTCCCCAAAAGGATGGCCAGAGCACGAACCAGCTTCGGTGGCCTGCCCGAAGTGGTGCAGGCCTTCTTCCAGCTCCAAAAGGGCTGGAGGAAAGGTTTCGTCAATGGGCACGCCGAAGTAGCCCATTGAATACGGCCTAGGGCTTGTTCCACCTCCTTGCTGGTGAAGATGTCCCCCTGGGCCAGCCGTTTAAGAGTGGCCAGGATTATGACGTGTTTGACTGGAGCCAGCAGTACACAGGGCGTGATTGGGTCCACCACAAAGCCCAACCAGGTATTGATCGGGGAGAGCGCCGTCTTTTTCCAGGAAAGCGGGACTCCCAGCGCCAGCAGTGTAGCCAGGATGGCTGTGGCGTCCCAGTCCGCCCGGCTGCATCTGAGGACCCAGCAGTAGTCGTCCACAAAGACTAAGTGCCAGTCCACCTGGGGGAAGATGTAGTACAAGAGTCTGAGCACCAAGGGGCATGGGAGATGGGAAGTCTGGGTTCATTGTTCCACGAGGGCTTACGGTGTCTGCCTCAAGGTGGATGTGCCCGTGCTGGCGGGGCTTCGGGGCATTCTTGCCTCCGGGCTTTGGGCCCTGGTGTGATGAGGAGGGACCGCCTCCCTGATTGGGTCCCCGTTTTCCCCGGGGGGAAGGGCCCTCCGGGGGGTCCGACCCCCGCCCCTTAGGTGGTTCCTTAGGGTTTCCCGGGAATTGTGAGGGGATCCGGATGTGCCCCGGCGCTGCGAGTGACACAGCGATGGCTTTGGCCAGGCCTGCCATCATATCCCAAGGGTATCTGCTAAGAGTCGAGGACTCGTTGGTGCCCACATGTGACTGATGCGTGCACCGCATTTGATCCCAATCCTGAATTGGGAGATCCGTGGCTAGCGTAGTGGCCTTCTTGACCAGCTGGCCCAGGCGGCACTGGTCGAAGGAGATTGCTGTCAAGGAGTTTTCCTCCATCCAAAGCTGCCCCTCCTCCGTGATCCAGAAGGATGAGCATTCCTTGGCTTTGGGCAGCGAGCTGCTCACCACTGGGTCCTCCGGGTGCTCCAAGAAGGACTTTGGCCCTGGCAGAGAAACCGCCGCTCTTGAGGCCCTTGCCAGGCTGGTGATGTACATCTGCCTCAAAATGAGGATACTGTCATCATCAAGCTGAGTCTGGGCGGCCTGGTCCAGGTGTGGGAGGCCCCAAAGTGTCTCTCGAGTGCGCCCTCGCACCGGGGTGGGGGCCCCCGGTTTTGGTATGTGGCGCAGGATGGACCATGTCCTGCAGTTGGGTCCTCCTCCAATGAAGACCACTCGGCCCTGCTTTGCTGCCGTGCAGAGAGCTCCATACAGCTCGGGTTGGAGCATGTCGTGGTTCCCTTTTGGTCCCGATCGTAGGATGTCTACCGCCACCACCATGCTGGAAAGGTGTGGGTAGTTGGCATGAAGACAGCTGTCCAAGGAAGTTGGGTCTTCCTTGCCTGCATAGAGCAGGACAATAATGGGCCCACTGGATGGAACTTTGGGCGATGTGCCCTGTGTCCATCTCAGCCGCTGTACCAAACGCTCCGGGATGTTCTCCATCCACGGGAAGATGTCCCATCCCGGTGACGGCTCCGTGGGACTTGTCAGGGGGGTAGCTGAAAGGCGCTGGCCCCCTTCATTCAGCCCAACCGAGCTCTTATAAAAAACCACCGGGTCCTGCTTGATGATGTTGGGCGCCGGAAGTGGGATCGGCTGCCTCCTGGGCGTGTTCCTTGGCGTTGCGGTGTGCTGCCAGTTATCCGGCAATCGGGCCTGCTGGGCGCGGCCCCCCGTGTCAGGGCCCTTGGCACCTGCAGGGAACCGTCCCGTCCCTGCCGTTTCAGGGCCCTCGGCACCCGTGGCTCGGGGCTGAGGCGCCGCCGTTGTGCCAGCTGTGTGGTTGTTCTGACCCCAGCGAGGGTGTTGTGCACGCTGGTTCTGCCGTCCCCATCCTTGTTCCGCCGAGGATGGCCGCCACCTGGCCTGTCCCCCCCCCCCGGGCCTTATCAGGGCCCTCGGCACCTGAGGCCCCCCGGGGGGTCGGGGTCAGCTCCCCTAGTCAACCCGGGCAGTCCTGCGGGAGGTGGTCTCCCAGGCAGATGCGGCCCGTTGCCAGGATGAGGTTGCACTTGTGGGTGCGTCCGCAGTTGCCCGGGCAGCGCCCGCGCATCCAGTTGTTACAGAACTGGTTCCCTTTCGGATCGGTGGCCGCCTGCTTGTTACCGCCCCTGGACGCCTGATTGTTCGGCTGGGGGGGCTTACCTTTCCCTTTGCTCCCAGGCTTGCCCCTAGACTTCCCCTTGCCCTTGGACTTGTTCTTGCCCTTCTGGGGTGGTGCGTAGTCCATGGATGTCCTGGTTTGTGGGCGGCCCCTGGAAAAGGTCCTGATCTTCTCATAGACCTCACGTGTCCAAAACAATGTGTCCTGCCTGACCGACAGCATGGCCGCCTTGAGGGTGCTGCCCTCGTGCATCTGCTCGTGAATCTTCCGCCATGCGTTGCGTTCGGCAATTGCCAGGACGTGGTCCTCTGGCGGGGGAAAACGGCCCCCGATGTCCTCCCCATAGAACCACTCGTACCAGCTCTCCAGGTCCTCCCGGGTGATGTCGAACTGGCCGAACTGCGGAAACGAGAGGACGCACATAAGGAGGGTGTTGCGGAACACCGCGTGCATCCTCTCGAGTTGGTGGCGAGTTTTCGGCTCGCCCCGCTCTTCCACCTCGTCCTCCCGGTCCCAGCCATCAACCGTGGTCTTCTTGGCGGTCTTCCATGGCCGTTCTCCTGGTTCCGGGAGTGCGCTTACCAGGTATTTCATGGGGATGAAGCCGATCTCGCCTCCTGCGCAGAGCTTGAACTGGCGCTTCATCAGCTGGTCGCTTCCTTGCAGGGCCAGCTTGGGTTTGGTGAGTTTGGTCTTCTCCTCCCAAACCCTCTCCAGCTGTCCCCGTTCGCACGAGACCGTGAGATTCGGGGCAGTGTCCCCGGGCGTGTGCGGCCCGGGTCCCGATGTTGCATGTGCCCCCACTCCCATGGATCGTTGAGCCGCGTGAACCACCTGGAACATACGGGCCGCGATCAGCCGGGAGGTCACATCCGTGTAGTGGTGGTTGTTGGGGGCGAAGCCCAACTCCCCCGGCGCCGTCTCCCTTGCCCGGTCGGGCGAGTCCCACCGGGTCGCGAGGTCCTCCATCGAGACAAAACCCTCATCCGACAGCGTCGCTTGGATGAACCACGGGATGCCCTTGAGGACCATGAGGTTCCTGGCGGTCTTGTGGAGCTTGGCCACTGCGTCCGTATACACTCCGGGAATCTCCTGTGGTGGTGCCACCAACTCATCCGGCGGCACCGCCATGGTGTGGGTGGGCGGGATTTCAGATTACAAGACAGAAGGTCAGAGTCCACTTGAGCCAAAATGGTGGCCCAAGTGGACACTTATGAAGAGTCAAGACAAGCGACCACCTGCGGTTAACGCTTTAGCCCAGACTCTTCAAAGCACCACTCTGGTGCTACTGAGGCCTTATTCGCAAAACGGTGCCTCCTTTTTGCCGCATAAGGGTTAGTGCCAAAATGGGAGGATTGCCCAGCTCCACTGGGCAGCTCCCCTCAGCAGCTGATGGGAGTAGGATTGATGCCATTCCCAACGGACGGATCGCATCAGCTGCCAATACCAACGGACGAGCTGGTCGTTGGGGAGGTCCTCCTTCCCCGTATGCCGTGGGGTCCCGCTGTCGCATCTCAGGGCCCTCGGCACCTGTGCGTGCAACTGTCCTGCTGCGGACCCTGGGGGGTGCCTGGGAGGGCGTCTCAGGGCCCTCGGCACCTGCGCCCTCTCCC